AGCAACTTCCAACTCCTGGGCTCAAGCGAGTCTCCTGCCACCACCTCCCAAGTCACTGGGATCACAGGCACCGGCCACAATGCCCAGCTATTTTTTGGTTGCAGCCGTCATTGTTATTTGGTGGTCCTGGGCTGGATTCAAACCTGCCAGCTCAGGCGTACGTGGCTGGCACCTTCGCCGCTTGAGCCACAGGCGCCGAGCCATCTTTTCTTGTTGATACACTTGAGTTCTGTGAAGATTCTGCTTATTAGCCCTTTGTCACATTTGTAAAATGCAAATATCTGTTTCCATTCTGAAGGTAATCTGTTTGCCTTGTTTTTTGTGTCCTTAGCGGTACAGAAACGTGTAAGCTTGATCCCATTTACTTATTTTTGTTGTTCCTACAATTGCCAATAAGGTCTTATTCATAAAAATCTTTCCTCCAACTAATATCATTAAGAGTCTTTTCCACACTTTCTTCTAGAGTTCTTATATTTTCATGTCTTAGATGTCAATCTTTTATCCAGTGTGGGTTAATTTTTATAAGCAGGAAGAGGTGAGGTCCAGTCTCAGCCTTCTACATGTAGCTGACCAGGATTGCATTAAATCTAGAGATTGCTTTGGGTAGCATAGACATTTTCACGGTGTTGATTCTTCCCGGCCATGAGCGTGGTACGTTTTCCATTTGTTAACATCCTCTGCCTTTTCTTTTCTCAGGGTTTCATAGTTCTTCCTGTAGAAATCCTTCACATCCTTTGTTAGGTAGATTCCCAGGTATTTCATTTTCTTTGAAGCTAGTGTGAAGGTAATCGTGTCTGTTATTAGATTCTCAGCTTGACTGTTATTGGCGTATCTGAAGGCTGCTGGTTTGTGGCACTGATTTGATGTTCTGATATGTAACTGTACTTCTTGAAGCTCCTGCTTGTACCTGGCTGCTTGCAGCATTCTTGCCTTCATTTTGGCTCAGCCGGGTTGACTGCAGTGTGTCTCGGAGCTGCTCTGTTTGAATGGAGATGAACGGGGTCGATGTCAGTCTGAAGGGTGCGTCTGAGTCTTGGGTGATGCTTGGGGACTTCCAGCTGTGATGTCCCCCAGCAGGGCTTTCCCGTCTCAGGTCTCTTCTCCAAGGTACAGGATTCCTGTACCTTGTGTGTTTGCCTGCTTCGTGTAGTCTCACAAAGAAGACAGCAAGAAATAGAAAGAAAAAAAAATTAAAGAGAAGAAAAAATAATAATAGTACTAGGCTGGGCGTGGTGGCCCACACCAGGCTCCCCTCTCTGAGGTCTGGGGTGCCAGGATCTCTGGAGGTGAGGCACTGGAGACCAGCTTGAGCAAGAGCAAGATCCCGCCTTTACCATGTAAAGGAAGACAATCAGCTGTGCACCCTGCGTGGACCTGCAGTTCCAGCCACTCAGAGATCTGAAGCAGGAGGGTCCCCGAAACCTGGGGGTTTGAGGCTACCTGAGCCAGGCCAGTGCCATGGCACTCTAGCCCAGGCTCCAGAGTGGGATTATGTCCAACCTCCCCAGAAAACTAAACAAAACTAAACAATGACAGCAGCAAAAAAAGTATTTTGGTTGTCTAAGGGAATTATGAGAGAAAGATAGAAAAATGAAAAAATATCAGAAGGAGGGAGGGAGGAAGAAAAACAGTAAGAAAAATTTGACATTTAAAAAACATACGTATATTGCACAGACACCTGGTGGCGCCCCAGGATTAGGAAAAGAAAAAGCGACTTTTTAAGGACACGGTGGCACTTCTGGGCTGGAAAGAGACAAACCCACGTCCTCTTCTGTTTGCGGTGGGGGCAGGAAGCTGCTAGCTAGTTGCCATGGACACCCACTCTCATTTTTTCCGGATTTTTGGATTTCTCTGATTTCACTCTGGGTGGTATCTGGAGAGTTGATTCCTCTCAGGGGCAGGAGCCTGAGTCCCACAGCTCACCAGGCTCTGGGGACCCTGTTGTCCCCATGGCTCGGGACGGCTCCTGTCATCTCCATGCTTTGGGCGCAGGCCTGGCGGGGTCAACTCTGTGGGCTGCAGGGGTGGGGGGAGATGTTGTCTGAGCCCCGGTCGCAGGTCAAGGCCTCAGTCCAGCCTCCCACCCCCAGGCCCCTAAGTGTCAGGGTGTCCAGGCCTCCCAGCCCCAGCCTCCCCCTGCCAGTTACCCCACAGGGTATAGTGTGGGGTGAAGGGAATCCCCAGACTCAACCGGGTGCAGGCTCTGTCCCACCGCTGCTCCCACATCTATCTCTGCGCAGGCCTCCCACCCTATTGGTCTCACTTCATTGAATTGGCTCCTGGTGTGCTGTGAGCTGTCCCCAGTGCCATCACAATGCTCTTTCTGGACAGGACCATGCAGATGGAGGTGGCTGAGGTCCCCTCTCCCCAACCTTACTGAGAAGTTGCCCCCAGTCTTTTAGTGACAGGTCTGGCTGGCTCTTCTTGACCTTGTGGGTCATGGCTGTGTTTAGTAAAGACCTCAATATTCAGTTTTGTTTCCAGTTGTATTTTGCTCTTGAGAGCTTTGTATTTTAAAAGACTGTGTTGTTTCTGAAATCGTGAACTCCAGTAGCACCTAGTGCGAAGCCAGGTGCAGTGCAGAAACTTTGTACCTACCTGTTGAGTTGTAATAAATACAACTAGCCATATCTCTGTAAGGAGAATAAACTCAGTAGCACAGAGGCTCACTGCCAGAGAGCCCCCAAAAGAGGAAAGTCCTTCTGATCTAGATAGTATTTTCTAGTTAACGAAGGAACATATTGAAGATCTAAGGTGGATTTTTTTATCTGGCAGCCCCAAATTTAACCACTAGGATTACTGTCAAAAATACTCATTAGACCTCTTATAGAACTAGAAATCTCACAGGTTGGCACCAGTCCTAAAGAGGATCTCTGGACAGTGTGGACAGTCTCCTGGCCCTCTGGGGACAGCTCATGGAGCTTCCCAGGTCAGCCCCCAGCCCAGTGTGGTCTCTAGTGCAACCAGACAGCAGATGCCTCACTCCCTGGTCCCACGGAGAGACAACCCTGGGCCTCCTGTCCTCGCCCCAGTCCTCCAAGTCACCTGCTGGTGTCCTCCTCTCATGCACTTTGCTCCACCCCTGACTCGTGCCCAGAGGACACTTGAGGTGATCATCTTGGACAGCAGCATCTGGAGGAAACTTTGATTCCCTTAAGTTGCTGGATAACTGAAAACCCAGTTGCCTTAACGTTGTCAGAACAAAAGAAGGGGGATTATGTGAAATATCGTTAGAGAACCCAGAGCACATCAAAGCAGCGAATGGTTTCTGAGTGTGATTCAGCAGACAGGAGCCAGACTCTTGTAGAACCCTCCCTGCACCCCACCAGTCCTCATACTCAGGAGGGCCCCCAGCTCCGACTCCTGCCTCCTGGCTCTGCCCTGCAGGGGACGTGGCCAGCAAGGTGCAGGTGATTCTTACCCACTCAGCCATCCCTGACCGTCCCTGGTCTTTCCAAGGTGGTGTTTGTGGCCTGGAAAAGTAGCTCACACCTGCAGTCCCATCACTTAGAGAGACCAAGATGAGAGCATCACCAGAGCCCAGGAGTTTGAGACCAGACTGGGCATCATTTAAAGTCCCCTGTCTCTGCCAAGAATTAAAACACAAACTGGATGTGGTGGTGCATGCCTGTGCTCCCAGCTGCTTGGGTGACTGAGGCGGGAGGGTCACCAGGGCCCGGAGCTGGAGGCTGCAGTGAGCCTTCATTGCACCGCTGTGCTCCAGCCTGGGTGACAGAGCAAGACCCTATCTCTAAAACAAATTTTTAAATAAAAAAATAAAATGACACTTGTGTAGAATTGTAGAGAAGAAACAATGATGTCGATGCTGTGTGCCAAGAGGGAAGAAGTTGAGAGTCTGAAGTTGATTGGCTGCAGAACTGGCCTCCAAATGAAAGAGCCAATGAGCTGGTCCAGGGCGGGGCAGCTCTCGCCCCACACTGCTGTCCTGGCTTCTGCTCTGCAGGCTGCCTGCCTGTTCTTTCTAAAATGAAACAGCTGAGGTTCATTGAACACTTATTTGACGGACACTGGTAAATTCTTTGCTGGGATCTATTTCATTCAATCCTAGGAATTAGGAATTATTATTTGTCTTATATTACTGTTGGGAAAACTGAGGGTTGGAAAGGTTAATTTATGTGCCTAAGTTGTAGCAGCTGGTGACAGACAGGACTCAAACATAGGTCCACCTCACACCACTGCCCGAGAGGTGGCCACTGCTCTGTTACCCGCTGTGAACATCACAATATTAGATGCCTCTAAAAGGTTTTGCTTTAACCTCTAAGAAATTCCCATTGGTTTAAATCTGCCACAAATCTTTTGCGGGAAGTCAATAAGTAACAAGATTTTTTTGAAAATCCTTTTTTGATTTTTTTGATTTGTTTCAGTTTGATGGAGAATTAACATAAAATGGTTTTATTTGGCCCCAACCATTGTTTTAAATAATTCCCCTCAGATTTCCCTTTTCTTTCTTTCTTTATCTTAATGGCATTTCAGTAAAATCCCATAACTCTTGGTTTACTACTTCTTTTAACAAGGGTTAAGGAAGTGGCCCGTAAGTGTGAGGCATTATCTGAGTGCTGGGTTCTGTCCATGAACAGTGATTAAACAAGCTCAGCTCCCAGTGTTTCTCCCAAGTTCATGGCCCGGCATGTCGGCTGCCGGCAATAGCAGGCAGGGAAGACCCACTCCTCTTTCCTCTTGCTCCCAACGCCGGCACCTGGAGGAACTGGGGAGAGTGTGTGGTGAGACTCTGGAAAGCCTGCCCGTGCCCCTTGTCCTGCCTCACCTCTCCCACGCCTGGCTCTGGGAAGCGTGTGGAGCAGGGCAGACATCCCTGACTGTTTACAGGCGTCTGTGGCGAGGACACGTGTGGGAGGCCACAGGACCCTGACGTGGGAGGACTGGCTTCAGCTCAGCCCCCTTACCCTTCTTCAAGTGACCTTGACCATGGTCACTCGTGTGTCCACCTCAGCCCCACTGATGGGCGTGCAGACTGCTGTGGCCACACTCCTGGGTCCGCTGTCCCTTCCCATTCTGTTCTCTCTGTGTGAGTCTCACCAGGAGCTGCTCAGCCTCACGGGATGCCTGTCAATTCTCCTTCTCAGGAAGGGTTGGCATATTGCAGGGAGACTGGAAGAAAAAGCCACTGTGTTACCCTCCAGGCCAAGTCCCCATTCCAGCGCCTTGCCCCATCTCTCCCCAGCCCCATCTGCAGGGCAGGCTGGCTGTGGTCATGGGCGTGCCAGGGGGACGGGCGCCACCTCTCACACTCTCAGAGAAATGGAAGCCCCCCTCCGCCCCGTGTGGTGGCTTCCTGATAATGGGGAACGCTTAATGTCCCTTGGTCCTGAAGTTTAGGGCCCTACTCACCAATTCTGAGGCAAAGCAGAAATTTTACTCAATTTCCTATTACAAAGGCAAGAAATCAGTGAATTTATACAGCGTGTCTGTCATAAAATTGGGATCGGTGCTCTGCAGGAATATGTCCTAATGTTTTGTATGATCTGTAAGGGAATATCAAGTAACAGTTACACTAATAATTTTGTCTCCCCGTCCCTGCCCCCACCATGCTTCTGCCTAAAGGCCCTTGCCCAGAAGTCCTCCGTCAGCCATGAGTTTAACCCACACTCCTTCAGCACTGATGACACCCCAATCCTTACTTCTCTACCCAGACCCTCTGCCTCCCCATTTCCTGGGCCCTGCTCAGACTTTCCCGCCTGTGGCCTGCCTCCGTCTCTGCCCCTTCCCTGTTTGTCTAACCCCTGGTTCTCCCGTAATAATTCTGAACTCTAGCCCCTCTATACCGTGGAGGCTTCTGTAGGTGCCTCTTCCTCTGAAGTTCTTTTTTTTTTTGTAGAGACAGCGTCTCACTTTATCTCCCTCGGTAGAGTGCAGTGGAGTCACAGCTCACAGCAACTTCCAACTCCTGGGCTTAGGCAATTCTTCTGCCTCAGCCTCCCAAGCAGCTGGGATTGCAGGCACCTGCCACAATGCCCGGCTATTTTTTTTGCAGTTTGGCCAGGGCTGGGTTTAAACCTGCCACCCTTGGCATATGGGGCCAGCGCTCTACCCACTGAGCCACAGCCTCCCTGTTCTGAAGTTCTTGAGACTCACATTTCACCTTTAGCCCAGGCTGTCTTCTCTTTTTCTTTCTGTATCTATTACCTCCCTGAATTACAAATCTCTGAATAACAGGAGCTTTGTTTTCACTTCTCTGCAGTGTGACATGTGTGCAGAGTCATGTATTTGCTGATGGCGACAGAACAATATTTTGGAAATAATTTCATGATTTAAAAACCTAAAAGACATTAAGAGATAAATGAAAATATTTTGATTATTCAAAATGTTGGAATCACACCCTCTTGGCATCCACGTTTCTCTTAGACAAAGGTGCACCCATTATATATCAGCTGCTTCAGATTCAGCTGCTCCAGAAACTTAGGCGAAGCCTTAGGGCTGCAGAGACTTCTGGGTGGCCAGCTCAGTAAACACCACCACTTGATTTGGACTAGTAATTAAACATGTGCTCGGGGAGCAGGTTGGCAGCAGTGAGTGCTGGGGCTCCTTAGTGATTCAGATAATCCACAGTCTGTGCAGACTAAAGTCCTGCTCGTAACGTGACTCTTCTCTCAGCCTGCTGCCCCTGCACTAGTCGGCGGGGGTGAAGGCACACTCAGCGTGCCGTAACCGCCCTCTACCCTCTTCCTCTTCCTCTCTGTCCCCCAAATACGTCACATGGAACATGTCCAGTGTTTCAAGGTGCAGTAGAAAAAGAAGTGGACTAAGGGCACCCCTAATTCTCATCCCGTATTCCTCACCGGTTTTGTGATCCCAGTAGTCACTATGCCTCTCTGGGCTCAGGTTTTTCCCTGATAGACGGGCAGGTGAAACTCTATGGGCAGGTTAATGTGACCGGTTTCTGCACGTGACCATTTTGTGTGGCTGACTCTGCGGAGCCACCGCATTGTATGGTATGAAGTGTAAACTGTTCTCTTCTTTTCCTTTTCAAGGTTATAGCTCAGCAAGTGTTAGACAAACACTTGGAAGAGGGCCGGCTTTATCCCCCTTTGAACACCATTCGAGATGTTTCTCTGAAAATTGCAGAAAAGGTAAAACCAGGCTTTTCAAGCTTCATTATTTTTCCTTTCATCTCTTGCTAAATGTTTTTATTTTGAGACAGAGTCTCACTATGTCACCCTCTGTAGAGTGCTGTGGTGTCACTGCTCATAGCAACCTCAAACTCTTGGGCTTAAGCAATTCTCTTGCCTCAGCCTCCCAAGTAGCTGGGACTACCGGTGCCTG